GTGGCCCAAGTTGGGGCAAGGGGATTGGACCTTTATTCTCTCCAGAATCGCAGCCTTTGCCATGGAGTCTCTGAGAAGGAAGTGTGACCTTGGGAAGATGGTTCTTCTCAGGACAATTTGCAGAAGGGCTCCTGATGCTCATCCCTACAGCAAGGGAATAAATCCTTCAGTCCTGCAGGGGAGTCCGGACTGCATGCACAGTGGGGTTGCCTGGCAGAGGCCGGAGTGACTAGAGGTGCCACCAGCTGCCTGAAGCAAGGAGAGGAGGAAAGAAGTAGCTTGGCACCTACCTCTTCCTTGCACCTCCAGCCTCCCTCCAGGGCTTCCCACTGGGCAAACTAGGTTGCAAGCCAGTGGGCAAGAGAACTTGGGAAACACAGTTTGCAATGGCCAGCCATGAGGAGCAGGGTGGGGGATGGCCCCGAGAGCAAATTGGTCCAGGATGGACTTTGTGGCTCACTGGCTGTGTGAGACAGGAACAGTGGATTCAAGGAGGAAGGACTGCTGGGCACAGGGCAGTCTGAGTTTGCCATTCAAATGCAGATGCCCTGCTGGCTGGCAGTTCATGGGCCTCCATTTCTGGCACAGAGTAACCTCCAAAGACCACAGACCTTCAATGGACTGTCTAAGTGCCACCCCCTTAGCCTGGTTTTCAGCCCTTTACACTGATGTCCTAAACGACCTCTGCAGGCTCAGCTCCCTGCCTGCCTTGCAGCTATGCTGGCCTGCCGTCCTCCTCCAGCCAGCCCTGCCTTTCCTTACATCCTTGGCCTGGCATGGTGGGCTACTGGCTCATATCTCGCCCTGAGTGGCTCTCCCACGTGTCCCCTAAGTCCAATGCCTTCTTCTAGATGGAGTACTCCCTAAAGACTCCTTTCGGTAATCTCCCCTTTTAGCCCCCAGAGGTGCTTAAGAGCTTTCCTGTGCCTTCACTTACAAGCTAGTACTTAATCACAGTAAGTAACATAATCTTTCTAAACTGCAGTTTCTTCCTCTGTGAAATGGAACAAAAAAATAACCCCATAGGGTGGTTGTAAAGTGGAAGTGAAGTAATATGCAGAAAGTGCTAAGAACTGTCCCCTGCACTGTTAATGCTGCCTCTTGCTATTATTTTAATTTTCATCTTCTAATCCCCAGCATCTAGTCCTCAGAAGATGCTTAATTAGTATTTGTTGAATGAATGGAGAATTAATAAGGGAAAGGATTTATTCTTGGAGCTTGACCTGGTTTTAGAAAATGAAGTATTTAGCAGAAGTGCAAGGAAGGGCTCTTTGATCATCGTTATCTATGTTGGATATTCAGGGACTCCAAACTGACCCAGTTCTCCCAAGAAAGAAAAAACCACAGATTCTACGTTGTTTTCATGAAGCTTTATGCAGCGTCTGCACGGCACACATTTCATGCTCACTCAAATCTCGTTGCAAGAATGCACGCACACCACCTGGTCGGGTGCAGGCAGTATTCCTGGCGGTGGCCAGAATGACTTCCACCCGCCTACCCACCTTGGCACTCGGGCCCCAGACCTTGAGGCGCGTCTGGAGGCCGGGGGAGGGGACAAGAATCCGGCGGCGGCCACGTGGGCTCCTTCCGCCCGCTCCCCACATCCTTTGTTTCCCACCGGCCCTGGCTCAGGAAGCTCTTTCTGCGAGTCACCACGAAGGGGCGGCCGGGGAGCCTGGAGAAGCTATTTCCGTGCATCCCAGGCTGGCTGCAGGCGTGGAGGTGGAGGCAGCGCAGAAGGCCCAGTATTTGCTTTGCTTTTATTTCATCCAACAGAAGGTTCTATTTGTGGAATCGAACAGACGCTGGGGATTAGAGCTGGGAGGGGGCAGGAAAAGAAAAAAAAAAGCCACATCCACTACCACGCACAGGTCTTCCCCGGAACTACCGCGTGGGGGTGAATGACTGATTCTGGAATTCATCATCTCTCCTTTACTCCCCACCCCACCCCCATTCCTCCGGCTGCAGCCGGGCTCCGGTGGCGCCCACGACTCCAACCGGAGCTCCCCAAGCGCTGGGCGGTGGGGATCCCCGGGGCGAAAAGAGTAAGCACCCGGCTGCACTGAGCGGCGGGTGCGGACAACCGTGGTGCGCGCGCCCGCAGCCCATTGTGCTAGCAGTGAATGAGGAGCGCGAACCAATCAAAGATCGCTTCGCCCCCCGCGGCCCCACCCCGCCCTCCCACTTCCCCAAGACCCTGACGTCACGGGAACTCTTCTCCGCCCCCTCCTTCTGCTCCTAGAGCTGAGCCGGGCCCTGAGGGAGGGCGCCCGCCACCTCCTGCCCAGCCCAGCCCAGCCCAGCCCGGCCCGGGGGGCGTGCGCGCGCGCCTAAACTGACCCGGGACGCACCACCTGCGCCCGAGCGTTCACGGCCCGAAGCATCCCCAGCCCTTGGGTCACCCTTATCCCTCCGCCGCCACCTCCTCCTCCCCTCCCCCTAGTCTCCTCCCTCCGCTCCGGTGACTGCTCGCCTGGCGGCGGGGCCGGAGTCGTCGCAGCCGCCTCATTGCACAACCCGGCTTCCCAACTGTTTACACAGCCCGGCCTGTGAGTGTGTGTGTATACAGCGTGAGTCACCGGGAGGCGGAGGAGGTGGAGGAAAAGGAGAAGGAGGAGTGCACTGGCCGGGATCCGTGCGGCGCACACACTCACTCACACTCAGTCACTCTCTCCGAGCGCGTCTCGCTGGCTCTCACACGCCTGGAGCCCAGGAGCGCTCAGAATCCGGAGCTCCACGGAAAAGTTGCTCCGGCTTTTGCTCGAGACTAATTGCTTTGGGAAGTGCATTTGCTCCGTGGCTCAGCCAAGCCTGCGTAATCCTGTCCTCGCGGCTGGAGACCCCCAGAACGCAGGGCGCCC